GTAGTCCATGCAGACTAGCTCCAGCGGTCTGTTGGTACAAATGTTCACCAAAGGGGCACTGTGTTCAGCTCTGGCACCTCTCACATGTGTGTATTTTGTTGTTTATGTCAGTGAGCATGCGTGGCCAATAAAAGCGTGCACGAACCAGATCTGTGGTGCGATCTACACCCATATGTCCCATACAGTCATGTAGGCTGTCCAAAGCCTCATTTCGAAAAGTCCTCGGCAGAACTAGTTGGAAAGATGGTACACCATTTAGAAGTCTTTTCCGGTAAAGCACTTCATCTCTCATAACTAGTTGGTCCCATAGCCGTAACATGAGCTGGACTTCTCTGTCTTCCTTTTGTCGCGTCCTGTGAGGTGGTCTCCTCCCCCCCATTAACAAAGTTATGACCCTGCTGATGGATGGGTCTTTCTTCTGCTCTAAAGCCCAGTCACGTTGAGACATTTGTGGTAAAGTGCATGAGCCGGGCAAAATGTCTGTGTGGCTGTAATCTGTTGGAATAGCATTTGCATCAATAGCAACACACTCAATAAAGCCAAGGAAGGGCAACTCAGACTGTGGTTGAAATTCTGAGTGGACAATGTGTCGTTGGCATATTGCACGTACTACTTCTGGAGAAACAGTTACGTTCTGAGTGATGTCAGACATGAACCGGTCAATACGGTCGTCCTCATCTTTAGCAGAGTTGTCCATTTCATCTTGTACATGAGGTCTGCGGGAGAGACCGTCGGCAACTTGGTTTGATTTTCCAGCCCTGTACTGAATACGAAAGTCAAAGGTGGCAAGTGCAGCCAACCATCTGTGACCAGCTGCATCTAACTTGGCGGACGTCAGGACATATGTTAAAGGGTTATTGTCCGTCACAACAGTAAACTTGGCACCATAGAGATAATCGAAAAACTTGTCCGTTACTGCCCATTTTAGGGCAAGGAACTCCAGTTTATGTGTTGGGTATCTTTTTTCACAGTTGGACAGACCCCGGCTTGCAAAAGCTATTACCCTCAGATGCCCATCTGCACCAAGTCCATGAATGCTTGCATCCGTATGAAGGATGTAGGGCTGTTTAGCATCTGCAAAGCCTAAAACTGGAGCTGTTGTCAGTTTGTGTATCAGAGTGTTGAAGTCCACTTATCAGCAAAAGGTCTCCTTGGATCTATAGTAGAGCTGTGCTTTGTTCCTGCTCTGTTAGACCTTCTGGGGGGGTAACAACCTGCAGTGAGATCATTTAAGGGCCTTGCGATTTTAGAGTAGTCCTTAATGAACCTCCTGTAATAGCCTGCAAACCCTAAAAATGATTTGAGCTCTTTTATGTTTCTGGGTTTTGGCCAGGTGGTGAGGGCAGCCATTTTTTCAGGGTCAGTCTCCACGCCTTTCTCTGAGACAATGTGACCGAGATATTTAACAGACTTCCTGAAAAAATGGCACTTGTCCGGGGAAAGTTTGAGTCCAAATTCTCTGAGTTTTGACAGGACACGCATGAGGCGCTCCTCATGCTCCTCCAATGAACTTGAAAACACAATGAGGTCGTCTAGAAAGACTAGGACCTCTTTGAGGTTGAGACTTCCCATGCACTTTTCCATAACACGTTGAAATGTGCTAGGCGCATTGGTAACTCCCTGGGGCATTCTATTAAACTCCCAAAATCCCACAGGAGTAACAAATGCTGTCTTATGTTTGTCACTTTCCTCAACCTCAACTTGATAATATCCAGACTTTAAGTCCATAACAGAAAACCATTTTGAGCCTATTAAGGCTGAAAAAGCTTCTTCAATGTTTGGTAGGGCGTATGCATCTTTGATGGTTTGATTGTTTAATTTTCTGTAATCGACGCATAACCTAATGGCCCCGTTTTTCTTTTTAACCACCACAATCGGTGATGCGAATGGACTCTCAGATTCACGAATAACATTAGCCTCACAAAGTTCTTTTAAATGCTGTCTGACAGCTTCATAGTCCGAGGGGTGTATAGGTCTGGGTCGTTGTTTGAATGGAGTTGCATCCGAAAGTCGAATGTGATGCTTCACAGCAGTTGTGTGTCCATAATCCAAATCATGCATGGCAAAAACATCTGACATTGAGTTGAGCTTTTCCATAATTCTCTGCCTCCATTCTTCGGAGAGAGGAGTATCAGTTAAGTCAAACTTAAGTGGGCTGTCTGTGGTGGTTTTGATGTTATCAAACTCGCCAACAGACTTTGGAGAATGAGAGCTAGTCCTTGTGTTACTACTCAAGCCTGAAGCTAAAGAGCACACTGACAAGGGGGCATACAGTTCAGCCACTGTTTGACCAGCAGGGATTCTGATTGTATGAGCACTCTCGTTCTTGACCAGAATAGGAAGCTCAAAGGAAGCCTTTGAGGGAGCTGTCATAATGTAGTTGCAAAATAGGAAACCCCCAGGCAAGCATGATGCTGTGGATTCTACTAGCAGAGGACTACCTGGGTTTATATCAACATGTCTGGCATAGCCTGTCAATACAGCTTTTTCACCAGCTGGTACTGCGACACATTTTCTGCTCAACAGCTTAACTTTTCCTGTTTTACCACTTCTCTTATCAACTTTGATTTTGTTGAACATGGTTTGGATCACTGGAATGCTGTCACAATGTCTGACACTTGTGTCTGACTCTTTGTAGGATGTGAATGTCTCATAAAGCACATCTAAAACATTTGTCCCAATGAGAACTGGAATCTCTTGGTTTGATCTGCAGTCTGGTACAATGAGTGCTAGGGTATTCACTTCCTCAGGTCTCCCAGTAACCTCTTTTGGAAAACACAAATTGAGTTCTATGTAACCCAAGTAGGGTACTTGCTGACCCCCTGCGCCCTCTATGTCAAGCAATTTGGCCACAGACTGAATCGGGCGTGCAGGTAGGTGTAGTTTGTGAAATGTCTCTGATACTGTGGTTACCTGGGAGCCAGAATCTAGAAGACACACGCTGTGAACCCCATCAATAGTCAAGCTAGCAGTACGTTTTGACCCAACCAGAGCACTCAAAAGAGCCTCCTCCAATAATGCTGAACAGGAGTTGGTAATGTCATCTATTTGTTTCAGTCTTTTGTTCTTTTGGTTATCTTGTGCTGGCTTTGGACTTTGCTCCGAATTGGGACTAAACTCTGGTAAGGTCTCAGTGCGTCCCTCTACTGAAACCCTGTCCAGTTTAAAGCTGGGGCATATTTAGCTTGCCACTCTTGCTGTTTCGCCTTTAATTCTTTGTTCTTTTTATCAACAAGGTCTTTGTTTGGAACATTGATGCATTCTCGGGCAATGTGGTTATTTTCACCACATTTAAAACAAAACCACGCTTTTGGAGCCGATCTGTGTACAGGTTGATGTGCTTGCAGTTCTGTAAAATGTGGTGGTTGAGGTTCTGAAGCACTGGCATGTTTCTGTTCGTGTTTCTTCCGTCTTTGGGCTCTTTTTTCAGTTAGCTGTAATTTAAGTTCAGCCACTTGTTTCCTTAAGTTCTCAGTCTCTGTTATATATTTCTGCATTAAATCTGTGTCTTGATTAGTTGTGGGGGTGGGATCTGGAATGCCATGAAACTGGGCAAGAGGTTTTGCTTTAAACCCTCCAAGGTGACGTTGCATTCTGTCTACTTTTAGAGATCTTTCTTCTTCAGTTCTTAATTCAAGAAGAAGCTCTGAAAAATTTGGGGCAGGATCATTTCTCAGTTTCTGTTGCAGGGTCAACAGTAAAGTCTGGTCCCAGCAACCACGCACAAACTGTTTGTAAAGTTGTCTATTAGCATTGGCCTCACTTACACCACCCCGTCTGATCGCAGTGCTGAGAAGTGTCTGCAGTCTCTGAATGTATTCAGATGCATTCTCACCTGCGTCCTGATGAGTACTGAGGAACCTGGCAAAGATCTCCTCCCCATCGTCAACAAGGCCATAGGCTGACTGGAGGAGTTTTACATAGTCTTGAGGAGGTGACTGAGAGCCTAGTTGTCTTACAATGTCTGCTGCGGGCAACAGTAAGCTCTCCAGAATCAGTCGTCGCTGCACATCCATTGTATAACCATCCTGAAACATAAGTTCAACATGTAAACACCATGTTTCAAAATCCACTTCACCAGGCGGTTTAGGAACTCTGCCTGAGAAGGAACGCAGTCTCTTGGAGCCTGGAGCTGTCGTAGCTTCACTCTTAATGACATGCTCCACTATTATTCGTTGTACATCTGGTGGGTTTAGTATGTCAGAGTCTAGGGTTGTGGCAGTGCCCTTGGCTTGTTCTTTTGGTCGTACTGCCTGTCCCTTTCTTGTCCTCTTAAGCTTCTCAGTTCCACCTTGTGATTTGGAGACAGATTTTAATGGCTTACTGGGTGGAGGTTGTGGTTTTTGAGGACTGAATATAACAGATGATCCACTGCTGTCTGATTCACTTCCAGTACTATCTGAGCTACCCCGTTCATTCTGCACAGTTTTAAAGGAACATGTGGCTTCAGGGTTTTCATCAATGGCTGACTGTGATTGTGTGGGAGTAGTTAAAACCTCAACTCTGTCCAAACACCATTTTGAGACTGGGTTCTTAGGAGACTGTATCACAGAGGGGAAACTGATGAGCTTTAGCGACTCTTCTGAGCTCAACAATCACTTGATAGTCTTTGAGTCTCACTATTTTACTGACACTACCATATAATGATACAGCCTCTACAATGTCTTCATCTGTGTCATCATCAAGTATGCCCTTCAAAAGGATTGATTTTCTGTCATTTACACCATGCTCGCTACCAATGTCAGCAACAGAAGCCATATTTTGTCTGGTTATTATCAGACAATATTTGATCACTGTGATCAAATAACACACTGATCACTAATCAATTATTTATATTGGTTGTTTATAGCCTAAAATCCTCCTGGCTGGCTCGCCACTTATGTAACCACTAGTGTAACTTACGAATAGATAAGTTGAGAAACTTAGATTTCAATGTTGAAGTTACAGTTAGTTTATCTTTCTAAGTTCAAAAAGGAGGATAATAAGCACAAACAACCATATTATCAAGAATGAACAGATTATTTAATACAACTTGAAACAGAATGTTACTGTACAGTTCTTTTTCCCAACATAAAGTGTCCACCTTTTTTATATCAGGCAGTGTATTTTCTTTTGGTACAGATTCCTTATAGTTCAGTTCGTCCTTTGGAAGTTTAGTTTTTTTTTTTTAGTTCAGTAATTTAAGTCAGTCAGTCAAGTCTTTGTTAAATGGCCATGTGTTTCTTTGGATTCAAAATCTTATCTTATCCAGTGCAAAGTAGGCAGCGGCTCCAGCAGTCCCAGGTCTTGGGTTGAAACCTGGAGCTCAGCAATCCAATCCAGGCCTGCGATGATGTGCAGCTGGACAGTCTTCAAAGTTGAATGGGGTTCTAAAAAAAACCCACCTGCATATATATAGAACTTAATTAACTATTAAGTTTCAAAAGTATGCAGGAAGCAATAAATTCCATTTATCACAAAAATAATATTCAACTAATGGCAAGCTTGCAAAACAAACGTATCACACTGTATCCGACCTCTTAGTTTGTACATAACAAAAAATACAATACAGTGAAAATCATCATTTTAATCTCACACATTTCTCCGATTGGTTTTATTTACGTCTCTCTGTTCTTCCTTGTCGGAATATATGAGCAGTAATGCCTGTGACGCCAGTGAGCATTAGCTTGATTTCGGTTGCAAAAACACGTTACAACACTCACCAGAGAAAATCACAGTAAAAATATGTTTTACTGCCAGGGATCAGGTCACGGATCTTCTTTTCTCTTAACCGTTACCGGAATTGATCAAGAATTTATCTTATAGCATGCAGTAATTTCCACAAGGTGCTACAACCAGCTACGGTTTTCTTCTTCTTCTAATAATTTTCTGCTGTCTAAACCAGAGTGTAACTCACAAGCCACCTGCTGGCGGTTTCTGGTATGACAAGAAAACTCAAATTGAAAATATAAACTGAATTGCTGGGAACATTAAATAACAAAACAAAATCCTACAGAAATAAAATACTACTAACAGTATCACACATATACATGTGGGTTACACTTGGAATATAGGTAGAAAAGCAAAACGTAGTGTGGTTTTAGACATTGTTTTATTTCTAATGCTGAATTTTATAGCAGAAAAAAGAATAAAGAGGAGCTCACCATTAATGGAACATGTAGCCTACATTACCCACATTTTATTATTTTTTATTTTGCTTGATTTGTCACAGAAAAAAAATAACAGACGGATTGGCAGTTCACACAATAAGACCACAGTATAAAGATATTTACATTTTAGGATCACACAGAAAGGCAGAGCTATATTCCTCTCTGTTGTGACCAGATTGCACTTATTTTATTGTGATGACAATTTGTTGTTATATTATAGACAACATAACCAATATGCTGATTAATTTATGAATTATTATCACTGACGAATGACATGTGAAACTTTTGGCATCATTAATACCCTGAAACGAAGGTTTTTAATTTCTTTATTTAATAGTGAAAAATAGTTGCATACAATCCTTTTACTTTGGCAGCAGTTTACAGTGTTGTGTTAATTCTAGACCAACCTGTCGATTTACTTCCTCCTCAAAATCATATGATCAATTGAAAGGTGGGATTCCATCTGATCAATAACTTCAAAGTGTTTGATCCTCCAACCTGTGGATTACTGAGGGTGTCTCCATACCCAGGGTAGTCTTCTGTGTTGTGTAAAATATATTTCCAAACTATTCTGTTGACATGACTTCTGTTGGTTTACATATTGGGAATTAAGTTTAGTGGATAGCAGACTGCTGAGGAGAACATGCTTGCCCATAAAAACCAACATCACTTGCAATGGAACAGGGGAGCATATTATTGTAGGGATACCTGCTAACATGAGGAAACTTGAATTGATTCATTCAGGTTCTATTAAGATGAATTTAACTTGCTGATACACAATCACTACATGTTATGCAGTATTCTCACCTTATTATTTAACTCATTTTAGGCCAGCAAACAATAGTGCTAATGTAAGTAAAGATCTTTAAACATATCCAAAAGGTGCCAGGTTTCTTTTTTTCTGGACTATAACATATGGGAGACAGTGATAAGTTATATCTAGTTTATAGGAACAAGACCGAATCAACGGAGCAAAGATATTTATTTTGTAAAGGTTTGAAATAATTTACAAAATCGCCGTTCAGGTTTGAGGAAAACCGCATTAAAAAGCTTCATTTGCATATTTTACAGTAAAAATTTGAATATGCTTAAACTGTGAAGGAATAAATTTGAGAAAATCAAGTGCAGTCGAGACTATAAAACACCCCACTCCCCAGCAGAAATGCCCTTTTAATTTAGCCTGGATGTTAATCTCTGACATCACACAGAAGTGAGTGCTGTGGATCAGTAGCACAGATGAAGCTTTAAGAGGCTTACTCTCAGTAAAACAGGATAAGATTAGACATGTCACATCATCTTCATGGAAGGGTAGGATCATGGTTCAGTGCTTTGGTTACCAGCCCACCCTAATGAAAGAGATTGAATGCAGATTCCTCCCTCCTAAAGTTTTTATGAAATAACCTGGATAACTGTAACACCTAAGATAACATCTGGTGTCATTCGAACTCTGTAAATTACTTTCCTATTTATCCAGCCTGAACAGTTGGCTTTAATCAAATCATCTGATCAGGGTCTGACAAAGCAGGGAGACAAGGAAAATGTTCAAGCTGGTGGGCTTTAGAGATTTAATTACAGAAGCATAACTGAACTGGACCCCAATAAACTGGTGGGAACAGCATCAGATGGCTTTCGCCTCCATCTAATCTACACAGGCACCAGAATCTCTCACTGACTGCTCCTGACAGCCTACCTTTATTGGACAGGAGATATAGGTATGATTATTCAACAAAAGGGACGCAAACAGATCAAACAGTCTACACACGATTAATTGTCAAAGCGGTCTCTTAGATCAGCCGTTGTATATCCTTCGGTGGAGCCATGACAGATTAGTTGCAAGAGAAATAATTATGCTGGAGGTTTGCCAGAACGGAAATATAAAAAAGATCCAGATATAGTCCATTGTGGAATTATTTTATAGAGTTTAATGGTAACAAGGCTGGAGAACACATTTTATGCTGTTTCTTTGCAGATATAAAGATTTCATAAATGCCTTTATGTCATCACCTAAATAGAGCTTATTCAGAGGTGCTACATGACGAAGCAGGGACAACTCACCAAATATTACTAATTTGTGAGAAAGATGAGTGTGTGATGACAGAGAAGTGGAGGGCTTTATGCAAAACATTTGTACTATGATATAAAAAGACATAAAACTAAAAAGCACAATAGATTTTTATGAGTATTTCATGCAGCCAGCTTCTAGGATTCCTTTCGAGAGCAACCACAACCACCAATTTACATGCACAGCTAACAGCACAGTGTTGCTTCCACCTCTGATTGTTGGATTGCACTGAAAACAGAAAGCTATTTCATAGCAACCATCCAGTTCATTCACACGAAGTGGCCACTGAAGTCTGACAGTCTGTCAGAGGGACGACCTTCTCTTAAGATGATTGTTTGTATCTTGTATCTGTTTGTAGGTGGTTAGAAATGTTTCACATATTCTAATGTATTTATTCTATTTAATTTTTCAGTAACCTAATAGGTTCAGATTTTATATGTCTAAGTTTAATGATGTTTTAGTAAATTAGTAGTTTTTGTTTAGTCAGTCAGGATTTTTTACTGGTTGCACAATAGTGTTAATATTAACAATTTCTTTGGCTTTTTTAAATTCAGCATTAATCGAAACAATTAGCTGGTTTTCCTTAGATAGAACATTTTGAATTAATCTGACTGTATGATTTGATTGATTTGTCTCTGTAAAGTCCCTTGAGATGATGAGATGATGTGGTGCAAATTATTGGAAATATAAATAAACTGAACTGAATAAAAAAAAATATATCCATTAATATTTAAAAAAAAAGATTCTCCTGATACAAGAAAAACTCAGATTTGTAAGAACATTTCAGCTTGTTAGTTAATTAGTTGACGATTGATAAGAATAATTCAGATCAACCAGTAAATTGATAAATCTTATCTCTATTCAACATCAATAATTTACAAAATATGTGTTTAATAGTGGCCAACAACAATTACTGAATAAAAAAACCTACTTGACAGTAGATCAATGAAAAGTTACAATAGTTTACATCTAACAAGTTAACAAGATTTTTCAAAGTTTTGTATCTAGACCAAGTAGTGCAAAATGTAATTACCTTATTTAGAGTATTTATTCTATACAACTATGTTCTTATCATATTTGATTGAAGAAGAAATGCCCCCATTCCGGAACATAAAGAATATTTTCATCTTTTGAGAAGGTCGAAAAAATATTAATCAGAGGTAAACCGTAAGTCTAAGTTATTTTATTAAAGCATTATATAAAATTCTGTTAAACATTGATATTTGAATAGTTTCATGATTTCTGAGAGGCTTTTCAGTGAAACAATAGACAGAATCCGATTAGAACTGATGAGCGTAACTGAGGTCAAAACTAAAAATCTCATGTCAAGACACGTCTCTGCTGTTGCCAGGATCCCTTTTACCAATGGGCTCATGCCTGATCCCCCTCGTATGAATTGCAAGCCTGTTGCCTAGCACTGCATTGCCTACCCATCATTCTTTCACATATGCCTCCCTCGCCTTCTCTCCCTCCTTTGTAGGTGGCTCTTTGCTGTCACCACACACCGTCTGTGGGGGATAGTGAATGCCTCACAGGTCTGCTGTATCTCAGCTCCCCATCTGTCATATCTGGTCAGCCCGGCTCGTGCTGTGCTGGGGGAACATCAGGCGTGGGCCGCCCACCCTGCTTCATGATTTCAGTGTGTTCTCACAGTTATCTAAAGATTGGATTTGTGTCAATCCAAACAGCAGGTTTCAATAAATATCAGCTGTTATCTTTGTGCGGTCCTCTGCTGAAGGCTTTAAAGGCAGTAGCAGTTATCCTGTTGTGCATGACTGAATGTGTCCAGAGACATCCATTCACATACTGCATAAGTGAGAAGGCTGCCAGAATGACCACTGTAGGAATATTTATCAAGGTAAAAACGTTACTCATTTCTTACAAAATCACTCAGATGTTTTCCTTTGAGTGAATTTTTTATATCTCAAACCACAACATTTAAAATTTGATTAGACGTGTCTGTCCAAATGAACATCAATTCAATAAATACAGCTGTATGGTCGGATACAATACCATGAAAATAACAGATTTCCTTTTTGTTTCCTTTTTTCCACACTTGCATCAAATGTTTTACATCCAGATTACTGTTTTTATGGAATAACTTGAATCTAGCAATATATTAAAAAAAATGCTCATCCAATATACATAATCACAACAGTATGAAAATAAAAAACTTGAATCTTATATCTTCATTTTATTTATATGAGCTACTTACAGATAAATGCTCAGAATAAACTTTAATGGCCATAAATGTGTGCACAGGAAAGGAAGATGACTTCAGTTTTCCATTGCACACATCAACAACAGCTCAAAGAACAGCCACAGTATATAAAAGCTTAAAGGTATGAAAAAGGAGAAGCTACTAAAATAAGAGATAATAGCTGTATGCACATCTGTGTGTGTGCAGTACTTTTTATAAGTGAAAGAGAGCAGGTATGCGATAACAAAACAAAAGGCTGTAGTGTTAACAAGCAGAGTGTCTTGGTACCCTGGTGAGGTGCTCTCTGCTTTCAACAGAGAGATAGTTGGGGGAAGTAAACCGTTTCTGTACTTGCTTGTTTTTTTTTATTCTTTGTTTCATTAAAAGAAGGTAAAAGTAGTAACAGCTTCT